ATCACATGGTCCAATTTTCCACTGCCAAGCTGGCAGTTCCACCCATCTACTTCCAGTCAGGTGCAGAGGTGCAAAGACAAAGGATGACCTTGGGCTTCTAGAAAGGAATGTTTTATTTTGACAACAATATTCTACTCCTTACTATCCCCTCTCCCAATTCCCCACTAATGAAACAGTATAGTAAAATAAGAAAGAGTGTGGCAGGCCAAAGATCCTAAAAGGAATATGACTGGAGGCCTGACAGATGGCTTCTGATGATTTGGCCATTTGGCCATTCGGCATTTCAATTCCATTATTGTTTGTAATTTTACTGCACTGTACTGTTATTGTAGCACATTTCTCATGATGGTAGTGATGGTGATGGCAATGGTTGGTTGCACAGTCAGCCAGATGTTTTGGTTAGATTTGCCAATTTTTATTCACCTATCAAGTCCTTCCCAAAGATGTGGAATAGGCAGATTTTTCAAGTACAAATTTTATGGTGTGATCATTTAAAATCTTTATGTGTTTTATTTAGGGAAGATATATCCTGAAGATATAACACCACTTTTACCACATGCTACTGGGGAAAAGAGTGAAGACCCAACTTGCTACTTTCTTCAGATACTCTTAAAATACATGGTAATTCAGGTGAGCACATATATAGTAATTTCATTAAAATTATTTAACTTATTCATGTATTCACGTATTAATTCCCACAGCACTGTCTCATTTCTCATCTTTCCTACTATCTTCTATTGGTTTCTTATGATTTATCAATTGTTGTTTATAACTTATGATTAATGATTGTAACTATGATTATGACCTATGACTATTACTTGCTGTTTATAGGTACACTTTGAGGTTATGCAGTGGAGAAAATTCCTTGTGTGTCCAATCACACTTGCCCAATATAGAATTCTATTCCTATTCCTAGCCCAGCCTATTCTAATTCTTATTCTTGCCCTGCCCTGCCCCATCCCCTCCCATCCTATCCCCTACATAATATTTAACGTAAGTTGAGGCTTAGGAAAAAAGATTGCATTAAAGAAGTATACATAGAATTTTTCATTAGACAAACGTTTCAGTGTTCTTTCATTTAACTTGAGTTATTTTTTTTAATTCTGGCAAAGGCTGCAAAGGTGGAATGGAAGAATAAGGAAAACCTTAACACAGGATTTAAGTTTCTCTTTGCCCTCTTCAGAAAGTATTATCTTCCTCATTTATTCCCTTCTTTTATAAAACTAACCAACCTCTACAATCCTGTGCTTGGTAAGTAACTATTTTACCTCAATTATTTTAATAACATTAGAATAAAAGTTTCCCCCTAATATTAAGATTGAAATCTTTAGTAAATAGATGGATTCAAGATCCAGAAAGATCTTCACAGACTTTCACGCTGGGCCTATCTGACAAAATACAATTCAGTAGTGAGAAAAGTAAGTTTTTATACTTAGGCAAGAAAAAACAAATGCATAAGTATAGAATAGATACTACCTGGTTCAATAGCAGTAACTGTGAGAAGGATCTAGGAGTCCTAGTGGACAATCACTTAAATATGAACTTGCAGTGTGCTCCAGCTGCAGAAAAAACTACATAGTCCTAGACTACATCAACAGAGGAATAGATTCAAGATCACGTGAAGTATTAGGCCCATTGCTTTGGTAAGACCACATTTAAAGGGACACAGTGGCTCAGTGTGTAGGACGCCGAGCTTGTTGATCAGAAAGTTCAGCAGTTCGAATCCCTAGTGCTGTGTAACGGAGTGAGCTCCCGTTACTTGTCCTAGCTTCTGCCAACCTAGCAGTTTGGAAGCAAGTAAAAAATGAAAGTAGAAAAAATAGGAACCACCTTTGGTGGGAAGGTAACACCGTTCCGTGCGCCTTCGGGGTTTAGTCATGCCGGCCATATGACCATGGAGATGTCTTCAGACTCTTTGATTTTGAAACAGAGATGAGCACCGCCCCCTACATTCGGGAACGACCAGCACATATGTGCGAGAGGAATCTTTACCTTTAAGACCACATTTGGAATAACACTCTGGAGAACAGTGACAATTGCAGAAACTGGCTTACTAGATAAGCTAATTTTTTTAAAAAAATTATGGCTTCTGATCTGCAACTTAAAGTTAATAAAATATTGATCTATCTTATAAAATTTATTTTAAGGTAAGAATTGATGCACAAAAACTTGTAACCAAATGACATGCTTGATGAAATGGAGGAAAGTTGTTCTTTGTTCTTTTGCTTTGTTTTGTATGTGTTGTTTCGTTTAAAAAGAATTAAAAAATATATTTTTTAAAAAAATTATTTTAAGGTTACAAAAAAATATATAATTAGGGTCAAGGTTTGTTTTACAAACCCACCTATGGGACTTATTTTATCTCTCTTAATTCACATTACTTTCACTATGTACAATTCTTATTGTATGCTTCAACCATGCTTTGATCATTTTTGCCTATGAAAGCACACATTATTATCTTCATTTGTATTTATGTCATCTGCCCTGATATCCCAGTTTACAATGTCTGGAATGTAAGCTTCCATTTATAAGCCTTTTAAAGATTCAATTTAATGTTTTCTGTTTTACAGGGATTCCTGGCATGCGCCCCAAATCCGTGTATGTTAGTACAACTTGTGATGGTGGAAATGTTTATAATACAAAAATTCCATACCTGGATGCTCGTGTAATTTTTATAAAATGGCTTGTAAATTTTTTTCTGGAAAAGAAATACCCTACAGCAGCACAAACTTTCAAAAATGGTGTGGAGGTTCTACCCAGAACCATTCAAGTATGTTGCGAGTGTTACTTAGTTTAGCATTTCTGACATTGAATCAATATCAAATTACATTAGCTAAACTATAACTTACATGAGCTTGAGAACTTAAGTTTCATTTAGTAAAATACTACATATTTTGAGTCCTGATACCTTAAATAAGTATCATGTACCTAGTAATCAATTTTAGTAATAGAATGACATCCTTTTAATAATTAGCATTATTAAACATTTATTTCAGTTTAGCTTAAACTAATGGAGATGGAAAATTAGGACTGAATGTCTAAGTTCTATGCACATGCATTTCACTGGCTGCAATAAAGAATAGCAAGTAAAGAAATATGTCTAATTAATAAGTATCTGTTGTTCCAGATAAGCATACTACATAATCTAAGGCAGGCCTGTCAAACTCGTGGCCCGCGGGCCGGATGCATCACACACTGGCCGTGCCCACACCCAGTTTAGCAAAGGGAAAAAAAGTCCCGATATGTCCCGATATGATGATGCCATGACAATGCAAGTTTGACACCCCTGATCAAAGGGAATCACTGAAAGTAGCAGGGATAGTGGCCAGATTATGGCAATCGCCACTTAATTGCAGGCTACCATTTAGGATTGTCCAGAGGCTTCCATTGATAAAATAGTGGCCACTAGGCTATAATCACTGCATAATCACAATATCATATCACACCTCTGCAAAAGGTTGCCAAGCAAAATTGTGTGTTTGTGTGTATATGTGTACATATTTGTGTATATATTTAGATTTNCTTGTACAGCCTGAAATCCAAGTAAGATTTCAATGTTATTCTAAACTAAATCCAGGACTTTATTTTCCTATAGCCATTGTTTGTTATATTATTTATTACCTTTATTTTCATATTCACTTAATATAATCTCTATAGTTTTCTTTTTTTTTTTTTTTTTTGAAACAGTGGTGGTAGTCTAGTCAGGTTTTATTGTCATTTCAACAATATACAGTACAATACACAGTGAAACGAAACAACGTTTTCCCAGGACCAAGGTGCTATATCAGACAACATAGATAAAAAATTTTTTTTTTAAAAAAACAGAGCTACATATAATTCTAAATCTAAAAACTTAAAAGAGAGAAAAAATACACAAGCTAAAAAAAAATACACAAGCTAAATACACAAAAAATACACAAGCTAAATACACAAGTATTTATGGTTCCAGTTTCTTTGCGTTGAGTCTGATGGCTTGTGGAAAGAAACTGTTACACAGTCTGTTTGTGCGGGACCGAATGTCAGGTGTTTCTCATGAATTTATGGTCCAGTGAGAGATAAGCCTATATTCTGTTTGGTTTTTGTTTGGTTCTGATTTTTTTCATTAGTTTACAGCTGTTCTATATAACTGGGAATTCTAATTTGGTATTGGATCCTTCAGCTGACTATAATATTTTAAAGAAAAACCGAGTAGAAGATGAAAGTACGTTTATTAAGGAATTTAATTTGGTCTGTATAAGGAGATAAAAGACTCAAGATACTTGTAAAAACCTATCCTGGCAAATGTTCGTATTTGGATTTTTTTTACTATTTTCTTGATCCATAGTTAATAGGTCAAGAATTGTGCTGTGTTCTCTATCTTGATCATCACTATGATTTTTGGTAACAAATGTTAAGCTGGTGTAAGTTGGCATTTTCATATGTCACTATTAAAGGATCCATAATATACTAATTAACAAAAAGATTTTGCAATTTTTTCAAATAAATACATTGATAAACAAAAGGAAGATTTGGTATTTACTTAAATTTTATATACAGCATATAGGTGTATATGTTGTGTGCAAGAAGAAAAGCAATCATATCACATTAATTAGGAAATCAAAGAAATTAATGTTGACGTTGATGACACATAATTGTGTAGTTTGTAAATCTGCTAAACTGACAAAATTAGCCTTCTGATACAATTTTCATTAAGATCTGAAATCTGATTATGAACTGAATATTGTATTTTCATCATTTTTATTTTAAAATTTGATGGTTTCTAATAGATGTTTTGTGAATATTTATTTTTATACTGTTTTTTAAAAAAATATGCCTTCTTTTCAGATAAGATGTGAAGGAATACGGCTATTTCTTCTTTGGCTGCAAGCCCTCCAGACTAATTGTGCAGAAGAGCAGCTGTTAATTTTTGCTTGTCTTGTGCCTGGTTTTCCTGCAGTTCTATCTTCAAAAGGTCCATGTACACTCGATACCCTCATCAGTCCTCCTTCTAGTCTTCCTAATGGTTAGTTATTCTATTCTTCTGATTTTTTTATTAAGTTTCTTGCAAGTGAAAGTTAGTTGCTCTGCTAATGAAATATTAGTCAATTGACATCAATTGAAGTTTTAAATAATGGTTGTAATTACTGTGTCTATAGAAAAAAGTTTTAAGCAGTAATTAAAACACTTTTAATTATTCATTTAGGACAGTGATTCCCAAACTTGGCAACTTTAAGACTTGTGGACTTCAACTCCCAGAATTCTCCAGCCAAGTTTTAAAGTTGCCAAGTTTGGGAACCACTGATTTAGGAAATCTGTGTCCCACTCACTTACTTAAAATAAATATTCTTCTTTTCATTTTGCGGGTGATATTGTTAGGCCCTGATACAATGTTGCAATAAGTTATGTGGACAGAATTACCTTCTGCTGACTACCGATTGCCAGAAGTTTGGCAGTTCGAATCTCACCAAGCTCAAGGTTGACTCAGCCTTCCATCCTTCCAAGATCGGTAAAATGAGGACCTAGCTTTTTGGGGGCAATATGCTGATTCTGTAAACCGCTTAGAGAGGGCTATAAAGTCTTAAGTGCTATTGCTATCTATATATCTTCCATAGAGTTTGGTTTCAATATTGGTGCATGATTATAGTACCTAGTTGGTCAATTGTGCAATGTTTTTGAAAGGGAAATATCATTGTCCAGGAAGTATGATACACCTTTGATTATATGTTTCTGGTTTTTGCTGGGAGCCATAAGAGACTGTGTTCTCTGGTCTTTCTAATTGTCCAGTTTGGTTCAACAGGCTGGGCATGTTACAAGTCTTGTCAGCCAAGGAATGTGAATTACATAGCAACCAGATATATTTATTTTGTATTTTATTTTTAAAAATTATTTGTATGTTTTTATGATGCAGAGTCAGAGTCACTTACTGAGATGAGTGACTGTAGAAATCAAATAAATAAATAATAAATTAACAAACACTATTCTGTTCTTTGTGTCTTATAGAAGATTATTTTTGGAAACTCTCTTACTTTTTTGTATTTCACTGAGTGGTTATTGTAGTTTGAGAATGGCTTGAATTAAACACTTAAGATATTAAGCTTGCCAACCAGTTATGGCCATTACAAAAGACAGTGTATAGAGCATATAAAGGTACATTACCCAATGAGTGTAAATTGGTGTTACTTTGTGTCCTTGCCAATGTGTTATGCCAGTATGTGTGGGCTAGCCCAGAAAAGCAGGTGGAAAAGCAATAGCTTTTTTTCCCCACAGTTTTTCAAAGCATTTATTTTTAAGTTGCAGTAGGGTACTTTATGCATTTATTCTATGCAGTTTCTTTAGAGGGTCTTTGCTGGACAATTGAAGCTGCTGTGCTATTTGTTCCTCATTCCTAATGCCTTAAAAGAGTTGAACAGGGAATGCATTTATGAAAGTGAAATCCTTGAAGGTGCCTAGCTAAAACTTGGCAGGAATTACTGTCCCATAATTTTCATTCCATTATTATGCCAAAAAATGAAGCAGCTGCAGTCATTAAAAGGATGTTTCACCACCACATTCTATGGTCCAAGCTTTTAATTGAAACTCAGAATTGCTTAAATTGAATTGATTTGCCTTTTAATCTTAAAAGTAGAAAATTGAATCATGCCACCTGCTAAAGTTTGGACTGGACCAGAGCTTGCTAAGACAGGTTTGTTACATACATAATTTTTTGATATTTGAAATGTTATATTAAAGATTAAAATAGATCTTGTTTTTGATATAATTAGAAAAAAATAGTTCTTGATATATAGCATAATTGAATCTTTGACTGAACTGTTTATGGTGGCATATTAGTAATGTAGATTTTCCCAAATCAGCATGAAAGTCATGATTAAGAAGAAAGCATACAAATGGATAACGAATAAGGAGATTATGAATGAAAGATAGAAATGTATAGTAGGGCAAACACTATCTGCAAAGAAACCGATTCGGAACTGCTGTATGATATACGATGGAACTTGTTGCTCCTATGTTGTTTTTAAGTTATGTGTTTGTTTTTGTTGATGTGNGTGTGTGTGTGTGTGTGTATACACATACATATATACTCAGTCTTTTTATTGAACTTTTTATTCAATGGTTTTGGGGTTTGGGTGCTGGGATTAGTTGCTAATAATTAGAAGTTAAACTAAATTATCTTAAGTAATTTCCATAAATTATCATAGTTGTTTCCTCATATCTTCTTAAGACAGTGGGTAATACAGCGCAAGATAAAAATCCTGAAGTGGAAAACAGTGTCCCATCAGATCAGGAGAAAAATCATATCAACCACAGCGGGATACTCAGTGATTCCAGTTTTTGCAGCATTGAAGAGCAGCACCGAACTGCGTATGAAATCGTGCAACAAATATTTTTGTCTACAAGAGATTATGTGAATTTTGTTAATGAAGTATTTCATCAGGTTGGTATAAATTAACATCTGTTTATATGTTGCAGAGTATCAGTTCCATATCTTTCTCTTTGTGGGAATCTGTAATATCTGAAAGATTTTAAGAATCAACCCTTAACAGTATATTAGCTATGCTTTTCATGGCACACATCCTTTCAGATAGTGTCATTAAGTGCTTAACTTAAATTAATCGTGACTTTGTATTCTATGGAATTTTCAAAAGCACCACCAATCTCTTATAATACTTGACAATCTTATGAAATGTCGGTCGATAAAAAGGATAACATATTTTGATATTTATTCATTAAATTTAGCAACTGCTCATCTTTCTCATAGAGGAACCTTGGGTTGTATACAAATATAAATATTAAAACATAAAAACTGAACATAAAAATTTAAAATAGAGGCAAGGCTAGTTAAAATTGAATATTAAAAGTTCATTAAAAGATAAGGGGGAGAATTTTCAGGGTGCTAACCAGCGTCATAGCTGTGTGTTCCTTTGCGAGCCCCAAGACGGATGGAAGAGTCGGTTCCACCACAAAACCGCGGTGGACTAAAGCACGCTCGACGAAAGCGCGTACGTGACGTCATCACAGCGCGACGAAAAAA